GGGAAATGTGTTGTTGAAAAAGAAGAAAAAATTATTGATGTGATGGAAAATATTATTTTATTGAAGAATGTGTGGTTGAAAATGAGAATTGATTTACTGTAGAAAAATTTAATCCCTCCCAAACAGGACCTTAATAAGGGTGTTGTATGCAAAAACGGTTGCATACACGAGTCATGCTACTTGTACAATCCCGTTTACAACTAATTCATTTACAATATTTGACTTATCAAACATCATATCCATTTATTTTAAAAATTATTTTTGAAATCGATGGCCAAGATCTTGACAACATGTACATTGTCAAACTATCAACAAAGGTTGTACAACTAGTTTTATTCTGAACACATGCTTTCAATCAGTCTTCAAGACAATATTTGATGCTTATTGCTCCATTACCCTAAACTCAAAGCTCTATAATTAATTTCTACGAGCTTGTTTGAGTTCCATTTTTTGTTCAAAATGTATTTTGGAATAATATTTTGATGGAGAATGTGTGATTAAAAATAAGAAAAAATTGTGTTTATACGTAATGTTATTTAATTAAAGAATGTGTGGTCGAAAATAAAAAAGAAAAAAACGTGTTTTGAAAATAATGAAGACCAAACAAGGGCATAATATATACATTAGACATAATTAAAAAAAAACTAAAGAATATATGCATATGATAAAGTTTTTCAATTTAAATCGAATGTACTAAAAAACAAGATGAGGGTATAAATACTTTAGAACATCTTCCTTAACATGTACATCAATGGACCCAAAGTGAATAGTTTGCCATGAAACAAAAACACAAATAGTCAAAGGACGTACATCACAAATATTTGCCCCATTCGCAAACCATGAAACGAATTTCGCCCACCGGAATTCTTCATCGCATCCTTTAAGCTACTGTATACCAGCTCAGCCGCTACTCCATCCTCCTCCACCGTTGCCTCTCCAGAAAAAAAAAAAAACTGAACTTTCTTTCACTGGTAACTCAAAGAAAATGTCATCAATTACATTCCTTTCAGTTCCAAGCACAACCAGAACTTTTCTTTACAAATCCAAATCCAATTCCACCATCACTTCACTCCCCAGAAATTCATTTTTCCTCTCTTTAAAACACCGTTCTTTCTCGTCAATCCAAGAAGCTATGCCCAAAAAAGCTGCTACTTGTGTTAATGGGGGGTCTTTATTTGCTGTTGCATGTTCAACTTTATCACCTTTTGTAGGTAAAGTTGGAATGCAAAGAAGAGAAGGAAATTATTCATTGCTTTCATTTGGTGTGGAGTCTGTGGACACCAAGAGTACTGTAACGGAAACGGAGGCAAAGGCTGATGCTTCACAAGTTTTATCTGCAATGCTACCATTTGTGGTGGCTCTTACTGCTGTTGCTGCTCTTTCTCACCCTTCAACTTTCACTTGGTGAGTAGCTCTAGTATGTGAAATGAAATTCAAACTTCTTGCAGTTGATTTATTGAATTGATAAAATTATTTTACCTAATTAAAGTTTATATATATGTGGATTCTGAACTGCTTGCTTTGTTGGTTTTGTATTTGATAAACGGAAGGGTGTCAAGGGAATTATATGCTCCTGCACTTGGAGGTATAACGTTGTCTATTGGAATTAAACTCTCCTTTGATGATTTTACCCTTGCATATAAAAGGTAGCTTTTATTTTCTTTTCTTCTGTCTTTGTGAACTTCATCGTGTTAGTATTGGCATTTGCATTTTCATGCTTGTTGAACTGACTCTCAAAAATAATAAGCTCTCGTTTGATGCAGGCCTGTGGCATTATCTGTAGGCTTTATTGCGCAGTATGTTCTGAAACCGGCACTTGGGGTGTTCGTAGCATGCTCATTCAAGATGTCACCAGTGTTCTATGCCGGTTTTGTTCTCATGTCTTGTGTTGCAGGAGCTCAGCTATCTAGCTACGCCAGTTTCTTGAGCAAAGGAGATGTGGCATTTAGCATTCTCTTGACCAGCTCAACCACCATTGCATCCGTTCTTGTTACTCCTTTCTTAACAGGCCTTCTCATTGGCTCTGTCATTCCAGTCGATGCAGTAGCTATGGCAAAATCAATTTTACAGGTATTATTAAACTAAAATAGATCAAATACGTGGTTAATTTAATTTATTTTGCTGTTGAATTTTCTGTTTTACCATGTGGTTCTTGCTCCAGTGACTCTTGGCTTAGTGCTAGACACTTATGCCAAACCATTTGTATCTG